ATATCTCTAATCTATATTCATCCAAATAATAATAAAATCTTTATTCCTTTAAATATATTTATTAATTATATTATTTATAAAAAGAGTTTAGATATAATATTAATTATTATAGAGTTTTCTATATTAATTATTTCTAGATCTATTAGAATAAAAGCTTTTTTTGTTAGTACTTCTATATTGAGATTCTGTTAGTTCTAGTTATAAATTGAGTATATATATAATATAATTAATATAATTGATAGATTTATATTAAATCTATATAAACATTTACTGAGATATTCATTTTTATATACTATAATCCTTGCCCTCAAAGTAATTAGGGTTTCTGTAATTATTATTATAAAAAACAAAAATAATTCAAAGGTTTATTCTATTTCATCTATATCTGCTTTGTATAGTATCTCATAGTCTTTTTTATTAATAATTTTAATTATAGCTAATTCCTTTATAATCAGAACAATCCATTATTTAGTATAAACCCTAAAAGTAGCTGGGTAATTGAAATAGTTAATACAAAAGGATTTATAACAATTAGCATATTAAATTACTCTAATATATTATTAATATACAAATATACCCTCATACTTAGTATTTAGTTTACTATATATCAAGTATTATAAAACTTTATTATAAATAAAGAAATTATAATACCCTAAATAACTAATATTATGAAATTGAATTTCCTAAGATTTATCTAGGAGAATCGAATAGAAATTATTATTGAATAGTTGGAATTGTAATACTATAATATTAAAGCTAATAATCCAAATAGCTCTTTTAATAATCGAATTAACCCTGCTATATACTAATTGATAATTAACTAACTGCTTGCCGGTTTGAATTGTGATTTCTTTTTTAATAAACTTAGTAGATATAGGAATAGAAGTTTCTTCAATATAATAAAAATTATAAGATATTTGTGGGATTATATATATAAACCATTTTTCTAATCTACATATACTTATTATATAAAGAGTTTTAAATACCCACTTAAAGTTATCTGCTTTCATGATTTTCTTCTGGTTAACACTAAAACTACATCATAGAGTTTAACTTATATTATTCCTTTAAAAAAAAAAGATTTCTACTAATATAAATTTAATAACTATTTCTTTTATTCTAAATCTTAATAGAAAGAAATTTATCTTTGAAAATAAAACTTCCCCATTAATTATTATAAGAATCGTTTTTTCAATCTAATTATTTTTTCTTTTGAATCTGCATACTTCTATACACTCAATATTCATTTCTTCAATAGAAATAGAGTGTTTTGTATTGATGAAAGCCTTAATAAGACTTTCTACCTCAAATACTATCCAAGTTTTTAATACATCAATATAAATCTTTTACTTATTACTTTCTAATCATAAATACTTTGTTATAAGCTCTATCCATTAATCAGAAATAATCTTTACTACTTCCAATAATATGAAAATAATCATCCCTTTAATATTCATTACAAATCTACATTATTAACCCTGAAAGCCTTATACAAGCTTATCCACTAATACTACAAATACTTCAATTACTTCTTATTTCTTTTATTTTATTTTATCAATCCTTTCAAATTAATCCTTAATTACATTAAAAGCAAAGTTTATAAATAATCTTATAATTAATAAAGAAATAATACTTGCCCCTAAAATAATAATACTTGATTGAGAGGGGATTACCTTTTGGATTGAGGAGCCGCTCAACACACCAGGGGCGTACATCACTAACAGCATAGGGGAGCCTTCTATGAGGCCCTTAGATGTAATTGATTTGTAATCATTTCAATAGTTATACAGGCGATTGCAAATATTGTATGAGTATAAATATAATAATCTCTATAGATTTATCTTTTATAAATTTAAGCCAAATTCCTTTTATTATATTATCAATAATTATAATAAAGTATCTGTTTCTATTCTCAAAAGATTCTTAAATCTCTAATAGATTTATATATAAATATCATAGTTTTATAAATATATAAATAGCTGTATATTTATTGAAATGCTTATTTATTTTTTTTATAAAATAAGACTCGTAAGCTTTTTGATTAGTACTTTTCTTTCTTTTAATATAATATAATCTATTTGAAGCTTTCTTTAGCTTATCTATTTAATTATAATTGAGATAATCTAAGCATAAATATATAATCTCAGTTTTATTATTATTTATATTAATCTCTTCTATTTCTAAATCTATATTTATTATATATACTTATTAAATAAATAATTATTAAATAATATAACTACTATTAATATATATTATAATTATTTCTAACTAATCATTTTTCTAGTATAATATTAAACTCTCTTTGAAAATAACTTTTTGATTTATTTTAATAAGTGTTCTAACTGAAATAAATTGATTATTCCGAAAGTTCTTGATATACTAAATATCTTTTAATATAAAGTTTCTAATAATAATTATTCTGTATATAATACTTATAGAATATATATTATTCATAATTTTGATTTTTTATGAAATACCCTATTATATAATATTAGAGAGATTTTCAATAGAGTTAGTAAAATAATAAAAGGCTTTTGAGTTAAAAATCTATATATTATTTTGGATTTCAGTATATATTATAATATAAGGATAAAAGGAATCAATATATTTATTTATTATAACTATTTGCACAAAACTATTATTATTAGTCTTTTTATATAAAATTTCTTTAGTCTTATTATACTCCTAATAAACATTTTGTTAATATTCTTTCTTCTTATAGAATTTGCAAATATAAGATTCAGTCTTAATAGTTTTATTAGAATTTAATAAGATAATATAATCTCTTTTAGATATATATTTTCTTCTATTTCCATAATATTCTGTATATCCTTTTCTATCTCTTCCTTAAGCTCTTTTATTATCTCTTCTTCTTATATTTCCTTATATAATATTAGTTATTACTAAATAACTTATTATACCTCAAGGAATTCTCTTAGCTTCTTATAGAGTATATAGTATATCTCAAGTATTTATATTTAATAATATAATAAAGTTTCGCTATATCTATTAGATTTCTGTATTTGATAGTATATTCAAAAGATAAGAATAGATCTTTATTTCGAATAAAGGTTGTATTATTATAAATAATTTATATTGATAATTAAGAAGTTAATTAAAAAAAAATTGAATCGTTTTTATTTTAAAATCGAATTACTTGTAGGCGAATTATTACCAGAGATTCTAAGTATATTAAAGGTTTATATTATTATTGAATATTAAGAGTTTTGCTTAGGTTCTTGTAATATCTTCTATATCGATTATAGATATAAATTGAGAGTAATATATAGAAATAATATAGAAATTAATAATAGAGAATACAATTCCCGCTTTTCTATTCTATTTAGTAATATCAGTTTAATTGCTTGTTAGTCTTATACTTTTCTCTATGTACAAAGATAACGCAGATACTATTATTATAATAATTCGAATAATTTTATAGAAATCTATTTAGTTATAATCATTAAAAGTGATTAATATTTCCTATTTTGTTTGGATTGTATCAATAGTGGTTTTGTTTATTATAATATTAAAAATAGAAATAGTTATAAAGAAATAAGAACTCAAGACTTAAGGGATATAGAGATATAAAATGAAGCTTATAATAATGTGACACTCATAATCTATTAGAAATAGATAGCAAGTTATATATAAAAAATAATATATTGAATATATATATTAGGACTATATATCCGGGAGGCTTAGGAAAAGGAGTTATATAGTGGTGTGCACATGCTACATACGTGCTACACATGTGATTTCCAACAAATTTAAACAAAAAACTATTATTCTATAATATTTATAGTCTCTCAAATATACCCCTAAATATCCCTAATATATATTATATACTCTATAAATACTCTAATTACTCAAACAATCTATAAAGTAATTATTCTATTCTATAAAGATAAAGCTAGGTGTAATACCGACTGGGTTATACCCCAGGTTACCCCGGGTATACCCTACCCAGTGCCCAGCCCTGAATAGAACCTCAGATTTCTTTTCCTCTACAAGCTAGTATTCCTCTCGATATCTTGTCGATGTAGCAGAGTATTAATTCGTATAATAACAGAGGCTGCTTACACAGCCGCAATACACTACAACACTTATCCACTGGTCACCGCTGCCAATTGCAAAGAACAAAAGAATCGAGCTGTTTTCATCACCGGAGCCTCCCGAGGTATTAGTCGTGCGTGCGCTGTTGCATTTGACCAGGCAAGCGCCTCTGCCATTGCTATAGGTGCTCGCTCGTCCCTCGACTCGGTCGAGAAAGCGATTCTCGAGGAGGCAGCAAAAGTTGGTCACCCGACTCCCAAAGTACTCAAGCCCTGTGATAGCAAAGTTAATATTCCGGACAAAAAGAAATTCAATATAAACCCCTATACAAATTTTTATTTCGTATATTATAATATTAATATATATATTCGTTAATAATAAATAAAGCTTTTTATTATTAATAAATCAAATTGATTTTTTTTGTAATTTATTTATTATTGAATTTCAATAAGAAAAAAGAAAATAAGAGCTTTATATAGTCTTATTATTTTTGAAGATTAGAATTGAAAATAAAGTGAATGAAGAGATGCGAGTATAAGAGTTAAAAAGAGAAGAGGAGTAAATATAAAAACTAAAGAGTAAATGGAAAACATTAGCTAAAAGTTTAAAGGGAAGTATTCCTATTACTTGCTATTTACTTTCAATTTATTCTTTAATTAAAAGCTTTATCATTGTATTACACAATACAGAATATACTGAATAAACAAAAGAACAATCTAATTTAAATATATATAGATATTTTGATCTAAAAATGATTGCCTTAAACTAAAACTTAAAAGCTTTTCAAATTCAAGAATTTTATTAAAACCTTATTGATTAGAATAAATCTTGTAAGATATAGAGATTTAGATTAATTATATTAATACTTTAAAAACAATTTATTCAATATATAATATAGATATTATAGAATTTATAGTAATTACAAAAGGATCATTTTGTCAACTATGGATTCTACTACCACAGGGAAGCTCACGCTGGATGTTTCAGATGAGAAAAATGTTGCCTCCGCCTTCGCTCAGACAGAGCAATCCTTTGGTCGTCTCGATATTCTTGTCAATAATGCCGGACGTCTCGAGAATTGGTTTCCACTCGCTGACACGGATCCCACTTCTTGGTGGGCGACTTGGGAGGTCAATGTGAAGGGGAAATATCTGATGATGCGAGCCTTCCTTCCGCTACTCCTCAGAGGTGGCCAGAAGACAATTATCAATATCAACTCGATCGGGACGCACCTCTGCCGGGCGGGTGCTTCGGCCTACCAGATGGGGAAAATGGCGATATGTCGTTTGACGGAATTCACCAGCGTCGAGTACGGGGGACAAGGAGTTGTGGCAATAGTCGTTGATCCTGGAGCCGTCGACACTGGACTCATCAAGGCCTTACCTGCCCAGTCTCATGCGAATTTGGTCGATGCGCCTGAGTTGGCGGCCGATACGATCGTATGGTTGACCCGAGGAAAGCAGGAATGGCTCAATGGGCGATATATAAGCGCCAATTGGGACATGGAAGAGATCATGTCTCGGAAGGACGAGATTATGGAGGGAAATAAATTGAGGGTCAGGTTGGTTCTATAAGACGTGAGATCCTTTAGAAAATGAGAGAATAGCAGAGAATAGCTTCTGATAAGCTCTCAAAACGGATATTTCCCGAGTTGCATGTATCACTTCACCACTGCAAGACATGGATAGATTCCTCGTTGATTTTAGTGAATCCTCATGAAGAGGCTTGTTCTCCTTTAGTTCTACTTTGTACCTAGAATGAAATAGTAGCTAGCTTTCAAACATACATTTGTCGATATTTCTCATCTACCTTCATCTTACATGAATCAATCTCAGAGTCTCAGATCTCGATTTACACAGTGGCTATATACGAGTTACACAGTGGCTATATAAGAGTCACTTGAACCGATGATCCTTGCTTCCATCTTCTAAGATGACTGCCACCCCTCATTCCTATACAGCTTCGCAAAAGCCGAGCCCTCATCCGCAAGTAGCGCCGTCGGACTTTCAAATTCGACAACCCGGCCCTGATCCAGCACCACCACGCGATCAAAGTCCTGGATGCTCTTTAGCCGATGGACGATTGCTATGATAGTCCAGCCTTGAAACTCGGTCCGCAAGAGGGACATCATGACCTCCTCCGTAGGTACATCGACACTGGTTCATCACAGTAGTCATTAGTATTATCTTCATACAATTCTCGAGAAGGGGGACAGTAGTGGAGTACCTGCTTGTTGCCTCATCCAGCAGCAAGATTTTACTTCTCCGCATCAGCATGGCCCTCGCCAAACAGAACAATTGTCTTTGTCCAGCGGACAGGTGACTTCCACGCATTTCTGCATCATGGCCGCCCATCCTCCGGGTCTGCTCTGTCAATCCGACTTTTTCCAATGCAACTTGGATCTGGGATTCTGTGGCTTCGCTTAGAGGGTCCAAGTTGGAACGCACAGTTTCATGTCCCCCCGGCAGAAACCACGGGTCCTGTGGCAGCGAGTTGATGCGCCCGCGGACTGTTTCTGGGGAAAACGAAGAGATGTCGTCGTGCCCAATGAACACGGCGCCAGACTTGGGGTCTAGCAGGCGTAGGAGAAGTGCGACGAGAGTGGATTTGCCCGAACCCGTGCGGCCACAAATCGCGACCCGCTGCCCAGCCTCGATGATCAGATTAATCTTCTGTACGACCTCGGGACCGGAGACCCTTTGACCGTTGCCAGTAATATATCGTTGATAAAGGCAATTAGGGATACACGTACTGATATGAAGCAGAGACATCTTTGAACTCGATAGAAGTGTCCGAAGGCCATTCTACAGAGACGACTGCTGCTCCGTCGGACAGTTCTGCCGGAGTTTCTGCGACAAATCGCCGTGTTCTCGCAATAGCCCCCAAAGACGTCTCGATACTAGTCCAGTCATTCACGAAAGATGATAGCGTTTGACTGAAACTCACAATACTAACCATCGCAACTCCTAGCAGACTGCTGTTCATCGAATGCCGCAGTGTCACGGCTAAAGCAATGAGGATGATAGCCAAACAAGCGACGACAACATCTAGCACGAGATTTAACCAGTTCTGCAGGCACAAAAGCAGATAGAATGGTCGTTGCGCAAGATCGAGCAGTCCAAAGTTTTGGTTAAGGACGTACCCCTTCCATTTGAATGCACGTATGGTCCGCACCCCGTCCAAGGTCTCAGTGAGATGCGTATAGAGCGGGGATTTGGCTTCGAGGTCGAGTAGCCGCATCTGCCGGGAGGTCCGAAGGTAGAACTTTTGAAGATAGAAGAGCGCCACTCCTAAGAAATGCAGACACAGGGCCATATAGCCTGAGGAGACGCAAGTCAGGATTGCTCCGGCGATGGTTTTGCCAATTCCTGTACATCTTTAGTAATAAAAGCGTGATAGAGAGGAGATGGCGGCAACATACCTTCGGTGGAAAGCAAAAGGGACATTGGTAATTGCATATCCATTAGGGTCATATCCTGAGTGAACCTGTTCGCGAGGCACGACGCTTTCTTCTATTGACTGAAACGGTTAAACTCACCGGTTCAAGAGAGATCCCGAGTCCGTGGCCGAGATAAAAGTCATGGGAGCCCTAGGTATCCAGGTCAGCATAGATTGACGCAAAAGAGTTCCAGAGTCCCGACCTCATTGTAGCTCTCAGAATTGAGTAGTGCAATCTACTCGCGGAGCTGGGAACCAGTGATATCAAATAGTGCCTGAACGCGTGTAAGCTGCAAACTGCACCGTAAACGAGCAAAAACTCAGTTGGCTCTTACCCTGCAGCGATCCCGAGAAAAGCTAGCGCCAGGATCCCAAAGACAGCATAGACGCCCAGCCATTTTCCTAGATCAGTTTCCGGCCTCGTCGTATTGGCGTCGACCCACCAGCTGAGCCACAGTGCTGCAAATCTATCAGTCAATGACTTGAATAGCTAATAAAGGGTCTGCCTAATTACGCTGTAGTGCTATAAAACTACACTGTATGGTGGTGAAAAGTAGAAATAAGCCAAAAGCTGGTTTGCCCAAAGTGTTAATGTAGTATAAAAGATTACGGGGATCTCGACGTCCGCGACTTTCACCTGCTTCCTGCTTATCCTTCTTTTCGTCAGGTATTGGAGAATCTGATGTACTTGAATTGATATCCAGCTTTGTAATGGAACTTGCGTTCTCGAATCCGTTTTTTTTCAAGTTGAGATTATGAAGATGTCCGGGTACTGATGTGAGAGATTGGTATGTGCCGAACTGTAATAGGCGACTGTCTGGGCTGAGAACGAGGATCTGATCTGAATACGGGAGCCATTTGACTGCATCTGTCAGCAGTGATCCTCAATGAAAATTAGATGGAGCTTTACCGGCATGAGTAACCAGCACAATAGTAGCACCAGTGTGTCGTATTAACCCATCTTGACTTAACAGTTGGTGAAAGCAATGCCGTTCCGTTTCCGAGTCCAGCCCGCTGAGGCAATCGTCCATCAGGATAATCTTCTTCCGGGCGTAGACGGCTCTAGCGACGGTCTGGGTGGGAACACAAATTAGATTGTTTTTAATTAATAAAGAAAGATAACTCCAGAAAACAGACACGTTTACACATACCAAGCGTTGTTTCTACCCGCCACTCAATGAAATACCTTTACTTCCTACTCGGCCATTATCGCCGTCTGGAAACTGGCGAATATCAACGTCCAAGGCACATGCCCGCAAACAAGAGATATACCATTCCTGATCATAATCCAAGTTGCCAACGATGTTCTGTCGGATACTTTGGTTCGTTAAGAAAGGCGTCTGATCACAATATGCAATATCATCTGTCGACAGGTTTACTAAGCCGCTGTGCAGGATCCCTTCGCCTAGCAAGATCTGGAGTAAAGTGGATTTTCCGCATCCAACGGGCCCGATAACGATGGTTAGTGTGCCCGCAGTGATCTGCACGGAGAGGTCGTGGAGGACGGTCTTCTCTGGAGACCAGCCTGCATTGACCTGCCCAAGTTCAATGATGCTGGTGCCGCTTTCGGATTTCTCGTATTTCGGCTCCCTATCAGTTTCAACATCAGAAACTCTGGGCTCACGGGTCAGGCGTCTGAAGTCGACCTGTTTCTTGCCTTCCGTGTACTGTTGAATACGATTGCAACACTCTAACGTGGAGGCTAGATTGGGAATGGCTGAGACTAGCTCATTCACCGGACTGATCAACATCGACAGCAGAGACAACGACGAGAAGATGGTTGCGGCACTTGGTGCCTTACCAGACGAATACTTCGCAATAATGCCATAGCCAATGAAGGTGACGACGGGAGACAGCATGTTTGCCGCATTTCCTTGAGAAGCAATAGTTAATATAAGTCCGACAGCCTAGAAAGAGGAAGAGAACATACCGAGGGTGATATTGACGATCTGTACATATCGAAAACGCTTCGACTTTTGCAACTCTTTTTCTCTCAGATCTTGAACGTTCCCAGTGATCATATTGGTGAGACCAAGCATCTTCATACCCTTAATCAAGCCAAGAACGTCCGAGGTGTAAGCCACACGTTTCTGAACTGCTTGCATCCATTGTCGCTGGCGCGGCCGGATTTTCTTAGCAACTTGACTAGATGCGTATGCCAGAACTAAGAACACGATCATTAGTATTCACATTGCTGTAACATGCGCTGATTGAGTGATCATCGAACTCACTCAGAATAAAAATGACAGGTGCCACGCAAATTGCCCCGAGACGTGTCTCTAAAATCCAGATGGCGATGGTAGCCTGAAATAATTACTAATGGCAAGCTTTACAGATACCATGTTCCAGAAGCTATTCAGCAACATATCGATTACATACATCCCGGAATTCGAGTTGCTGCGGGAAGGGGAAAGATTCAGCGTTTTGAAAATTCCGGCCAAACTGCTCAATGGCACCCCAATGGTGACTTGGCGCACTGTGACCAAGTTATTACCCCGGACTATATCAAGGCTCTCTACCAGATTCCCGCTGCGCCATCTGTCGTGAATGCCAAAAATGCACTAGGAATTTTCGAGGAGGGATACTACGATGTGAAAGAAGACCTCAATCTCTTTTACCAGAACTTCTCTCTGAGTATTCCTCAAAACACACAACCCAACGTCTCTTTCGTTGACCAGGCATTGCTTGCTGCATCTAATCCCTATGTAGCAGGGGAATTTAGTCTCGATGTGGAGCTTGCCTACCCGATCGTTTACCCACAGAAGATTACACTCTTCCCGACTGACGACACTTACTACATCGAGAACTCTTCCTACGATAGTGGGGTTTTCAATACCTTCCTGGATGCCCTAGATGGGGTAAGTTGTCTAGAATTCCTTGACCGTCGTCCGAAAACAAAGTGGGCGGAGAAAGAATGAGAATCGTATAAACTAACGCTGGCCGTCATAGTCTTACTGCACATATTGTGCTTATGGAGAATGTGGGGACGACCCAGACCTAGATCCCATACATCTGGATTCCAATAGCGGTGGCTATAACGGGACCTTGATGTGTGGTGTGTACGAGCCGACAAATGTTATTTCCATTTCCTATGGACTTCAGGAGGACGATCTACCCGTTGCGTACCAGAAGCGCCAATGCAATGAGTGAGTATCGATCATACATCTGGTAGGGTTCGGTCTGCTGACCATCATTGCATAGATGTCTCAAACTAGGCTTGCAAGGGATCACCGTCCTCGTGGCCTCTGGCGATGCGGGTGTCGGCAGACCAGCAGGCGACGATAGTACCAATGGTTGCCTTGGACCCGAAGGTAAGATATTTAGCCCTGCTTTACCCAACACGTAAGCATCTATTTTACTCTGCTGCAAAATTATACTCGTCTCATATCTTTTTATGGAACAGTTGCCCCTGGATTACCAATGTCGGTGCTACAAAGGTCTACCCAGGCCATACAGCGTTCGAGACTGAGAGTGCCGCGAATGATCCATCGACTTGTTTTGCCTCTGGGGGTGGCTTCAGTAATATTTACCCTGTTCCCCAGTATCAAGCGGCAGCCGTTGCGAGATATTTCGAAACTATCAACCTGCCATATGCTTCTTATTCTGGTGAAGCAAATCTAAATACCACCAGCGGTGCATACAACAGCAGTGGTCGAGGATACCCTGACGTTGCCGCTAATGGAGACAACATCGCTGTCTGGGCTAATGGCACATTCGCTTTGGAGGGTGTTACAAGTGGTAGTACGTCTTCGATTTCTCACTATTTGTCTCACCCCCTTATTTTTCAGCTTGGCTAGCTATACAAGCACATACGGACTGATTGTTTCATGCAATTGTTGGAATCAAAGTTCGCCGTGTTAACTTTATATTCAACCCAGGTACACCAATCTTTGCGTCCATCGTCAATCGCCTCGTGGAAGCTCGTATGGCAATCGGTAAAGGTCGGCTTGGATTTATCGCTCCAGCTTTGTATGCAAATCCCGGCGTTCTAAATGACGTTACTAACGGCGCCAATCCTGGCTGTGGCACGGAAGGGTTTTATACTGCTCGATGGTAAGCGAATTTAAATGTTTCCCTCTATGTGTGTGAGACTTCTACTCACTCATTACATTACTAATTACCTGTCTGTCCCTATAGGTGGGATCCAGTCTCTGGTCTTGGAACACCGAACTTTCCTAAGATGCTCGCATACTTCCTGGCTTTAGATTAAGGATCTACTGAGAAGGAGGAGCACGATGGGAAAAGCAAGTAGTTATCAATCAACAAAATTTTATTTTAAGTAATAGAAAAACATGGATTGATCATTCCATCAAACTCTCTCCACTTATCAACTTTCTAGCACTGCCTCAAAAGTTTCTCAACTCGTATTCTTCTAACCTGTATCTCCCACGTCGTAACAGCTTGTGAATGGCCCAATTGGCTCACGGAAATTCACACCGCTGATTTTGGCTGAGTCTGTCAAGAGTAGTCGACTAAGAACTCTACACTGTTGGTCGGAAAAGCTTCACTGAACACTCATTCTTAGATGTTTGGAACAAGCAACCATGTTGTTTACTCATTGTTTAGAGCCGATTCTATTTAAAACCCCCCAATATCTCTCAAAGTGAATTGATTTCGTGTAACTCCGTGATCCCCTCTCTACTTCCGTAGAAGGGTAAAAATAACCCCGCTCTTAGTCTGAAGGTCGGGGCGCCTAGGGAGAGAAGTGGGTGGCTGGAAGTCAAGAAGTGGTGAAGATGTGCTTTTAGTCAATATATGTGGCAATGTTGGGTCCCCTTCAGATGAATTGAAGGCCAAGACTGCCAGTATTGAAGGGCAAATTATCTTGCAAGCACTTCCCAAAGACAGCACCCTGCGATCTAGATAGGACCAGCCACACGATACGTATGCAGCCGAGGAGAAGCCTGCTCTTGAGACTACAGTCCATGACATCAATACCCCTCAGCCCGTCAAAAGTATGTATGATTGCGGGGTTTGCTCAGGAATTCTAGTTAGTCCACCGCCGTAGATGCCAAATATTACTGCATTCGAAGTGTATTCCACGACTTTCAAGATGGAGAATGCCGCTCTATTTTGAGCAACATTGTCCCAGCAATGGGCAAGGAATCAGTTGTTCTCATTGATGAAAAGATTCTCCTTGACTCCAATGTCAACTGGAAGATGACCCAAATTGATATTTCAATGATAGCATGTTTTGCCTCTATTGAGCGAACAGAGGCAATGTGGGGTGCCTTGCTTGATTCAGTTAGACTCAAGGTTGCGAAAAATATCTATATCAACCTGAGTTGTATGACAGTGTACAGGTCGTTGAAGGCAAGTGAAATGCATTCTTGGAACAATTCTTAGAAAGGACGACGAAATCGGGAAGGGAAAACCAGATGTCTAAATCAATCGGGTAGCTAGCCGGTTTTAGAGTAGAATGAAAAAGGTCGTTTGGAGTAAGGATAGTTTATTGATTAGCTCCTACGAAATCGTTTGTGTGAGGATGTCGAGGTAATCCACATGATAGTCGACAACTGAATATTTGCTAATCTTTTTCGGACTGTAAGCTTGGAATTCGATGAAACCTGATATGGTTTTTATAAAAGTGCAATTTTCTTTAAACTGCGCACATCTGGTGCTGGATACACATATCTAATCCTGGGTACGTATATCTGATTTTGATCTGCGAACTATTAGTGTTTGATAGCCGCACATACCAGCTGTTTCTTCTAGGCATCAATTTATATGTCAGTCATCTTTCACGAGGAGCATTCACGGAAATCTTGGCATTTATTGCATTAACCAAATGTCTATGGATCTATACTATTTTCAGCCTAGTTTCACACTCTTTACTACAGGATCACGTGATTTGGAGATAAGGCAAACTTTCTTTCCACGACAGGTCAACGTCGGTAATTACGCAACATTTATCACAATTATACAGAACACAGTCTTTCCATCGCCATTTCTATATCAATCTCCATCGCAAAATATCGATTACAACTATAACAGTATAGTTCTCTATCATCGTCATATAGTCTATTTCTATCGCACAATATTTGTTACGACTTTACGAGTACAACAGCACTGGCGGTGGTTGCGTTCTTCACCTGTAGGTAGGCGGTTCTTGAGACTCCTCTTCTAGGATGGCTAGGTACCACCTCTTGTAGGCTGGTCAGATGTCACCTGTAGCAGGCGGATCTCGAGACTCCTCTTCTAGGATGGCTAGGTACCACCTCTTGTAGGCTGGTCAGATGTCACCTGTAGCAGGCGGATCTCGAGACTCCTCTTCTAGGATGGCTAGGTACCACCTCTTGTAGGCTGGTCAGATGTCACCTGTAGCAGGCGGATCCTGAAGCTCCTCTTCTAGGACGGCTAAGTATCATCTCTTGTAGGCTGGTCAAATGTCACCTGAAGCAAGGAGACTAAGTATCTTCTCCCTACAACGAGCATGGTTTCTAGACGAATATATTGTTGAGGATAGTATTCTAAGGCTTTTTATCCTGCTCATATTGGTTACACTTTACTACCTATCAGAATAGCGCTAACAATTGTCTTTGCAGGTGTCCCATCTTCAATACAGTTTAACAGGCCGCTATGGCTTCTCCAACGTTCGGCTGTACAGAGATACCTGTAGTTATTAAATGGGTCGATGCTGGACAATACAGCTATATTGGCACACGAATTCAAAATCTTCGAATGAATATACACCTCGGCACGCACGCATGTCCCAAATTGCTCTTCTGGTTTACAGTAACAGTCGGAGTTACAGCGAGCCCTGAATCATCTACGATACGTAAGAAATTGCTCTACTTCGTAATCCAAGCTAGGTTGCTTGTCAACAATGAGAATGATACACCATGTCTCTCGTTAGAGACTCCAAACTCTGATTGTTCTCCCGACACTAGCGCTGCTATTCGAGAGGCTGGCATATGTTCCGATTATGCCTCTGTTTCCCGTATATGCTTTCAGCTCCACAATCATGGCACAGTGTTCATGCCTCCCACCGAGAAGCATGCCTTTACCCCTGCGTCGGATAATGTCTTACAACTATTGGCTAGCATGGAGTCCCTTTCACAGGCTAAGCAATTCTGGGTATATACATCACTTGAAGAATCGCTTCTTACGAATATTTGGAAAAGGATCGATCGAATACGCAAGGGAACCTTTACAGGTGACTTTACGACCCAGAGTGTATATAAACATGGTATGGTATGCGACAAATGGACGAATTTCAATCAATTTGTGAGACAGGAGAACCCGGCGAAACATAAAAGCAACATTCATAGCGTAAAGCATAACTCGGACGCTCCACCGCTATATACCAGTGAATGTCAGGGTGCTGGATTAGAACACAAAGGTGATTCAGCAGTCGGCTTAGCAGTGAGCAATAGCGCTGACATCCCAATAATAAAGATAGTGATCGACTATATGAATCTAGTAGAGTCTCTGGCAAAGATCTATCTTCCCATGATCTCGATCAACAGCTTGTGGATACCGAAACTGATGAAGAATTGTCTGTGGGGCGGAAGCGCAAATACAACAAGATATCTTCCGATGCTATTCTAGGTAACCTGAAGAATGTTAATAGTGCTAGTATGCTTAATTCTGGTGAGCGTTTCGTTTTGTACCCCTTTTTCTCCCAAGATCCCTCAAGTACTACTAATTATGTCACCTAGATAAATCCTGCTTAGATCGTCAGACTTCCAGAGTTCGGTTCGCCAAACCTCGAAGCGAAATTCCGGGATATCTTGAAAAGCAATTGGCTGCCTTCATACGTTGGGTGTTAGAGATCGACTTGTACTTGGAGAAAGATTGTGAGCAAGTCTTCTCAGATCTTGGCGGGGCAGTGTCTTGTGGAGACATAACTAAATTTAACGAAATCAAGACAGATTGTATGGCGAATATTTATATTACATATGCCAAGAGAGGATCTAAATGGGTTTTAAGGAATACTATCTGAAAAAGACATGTTTATACAACTCTAATTTGAGCTATATAGTTGTAATATTTTCGATACGAATAATAATACTTTCCGTCTTTACTATCGTCTCTATATTTGTTGGAAAACACGTGATGAGATCCGTACTCACAGCATCACTATAAGACTTTAATATAGTAACTTTTATACAATAACTAATATTTAAAGTTAAATTTATGAATATTTTGATTAGACTAATAACACTATTATTAATAATTAATTTAATATTTATTTTATTTCTATAATATATATTATAGAAATAACTTTATTCTAGAATTCTAATAGTAATCTTGTTATAATTAAGTTTTAAAAGAATAGTAGAAGTATGTAATTAGGTTCTATAAATTTATCTCAAGTCAATATTAATTTGTAAATAATTATAAATTATAGAATTTTTATAATTTAAAGAAATTAATAAAAAGTCTTTGTATTATATAATATCTACTTGATTTATTACTATTATCTACTCTAATAAATATAATCTTTTTTCATATAATTCTTATATTAACTTTAGTAATACTAATATTCCTTTTAATGGTTTTATTCTAATAAAATAATATTATTATACATTATTTAATATAATATTATTTAAATCACTTCATATTATTATAATATTCAAGAGACTAATAATAAATAAAAAATAGTATATTATTATTATAAGAATTATAAAAGTCTAAAAATATAAGAAAAAAAATTTCTTTATAAATCTTTATATATAATATAATTCTATTATAATATTAAATAAAGAATTATTTATTAATTCTTTACTAAAAACTATAAAGTTATTATTTTGAATTTTTTTTTAAATATGATATATAAACTAGTTCATACACGGTTTAACAAATAATATAATTGTCGGGACAGGGATCATGTGACCGCACTAGCGCTTGCACTAGTGCCTCGGCATTATAACATATACATTTCATAGCCCTAGCTTTTAGAACCTCAAGTAATATTACAATAATATAAATTATAGTATTATATTGACTTCACCATCCCTATGGTGATATTAATATTAATCAATGATATTATAAATCAAAAGTCTAGCACCTTAATTTCAAATATAATGTATATTTGTGATTAAGATTGGTATTTCTTTGAAGAAGCATAAGCTCTCATATTATTTCAATATGATTTGATATCTATCCTTATATAAATAAAAACCATCGGTAATGTGGCGGCAGTTTTTATATAAGTATTAATCCAATATAATTTGATACTAATACTATTGAGAGAAGTTAGTAATGTGGTAATAACTCTCAAATTAACTTTAGTTTATATTCGATTCTTCTTTGTAATATATATTAAAGAATAGAGATTAGTAGTATTAGCTTGAGTTTAGTGATATTTTAAACAACAAATATAAAATTATTTTATTACCTATCTGCTATCCATTAATATGGTAAAACAATTTCCGAAATCTCTTCAATTAAAAGATTATATCTTTTACAAAAACATAAGTATAAATAAATCAAATATATTATTAATTATTATAATTAATATATTTGAAAAATTAGCTAAAAAATAGAAAAACTATTCACTTAATATTAGAGAGAATCTTAATATAAAGAAAATCAGAGACTTCTATAAATTCAAATTATACAAATATCAATAATTAATATATTTCGATTAGAAATTATAATCAGATTATTTTATAGTATTTGAACATTTTATATTAGAGTATTTTTAAGTAGTCAGTATATGTCTTTTATATAAACTCAAATATAAGCTATGCTCATATGAATTATTTATTACTAAGTATGTTATCTGTACAACTCGATTAGTTTATACTGTTTTAATTGATATAATTTAATTAAATTATAAAGAATAAATAAAATAAAAGATTATTAAAGTACTCTTGGAAAAAGGCTTTATATTTCAATTGAAAAGTATGCAATAAAGAATTACAAATGAAAACCTATATATATTATTTTAAGACCTTGAAATATCCTAAATGAATAATCAATTTGGTTAATCTGGATCTTTAGGTTTTAATTAATATATTATATTAAAGCTATTTATTACTTTATGGAAAATATCTTTAATTAATAAGGGTAAAAATATTAATATTAAATAAAAGATATTATCAAAACTAGAAGTATAATTATTTCATCACTTTGAATATCCTTAGTATAAATCTAATTTCCAAGAAGAGACTAAATCCAATAAATCAACTGTATACTAATTCTATAGTCTAATAAAGCTAATATCTGTTCAACCTATTCGATTCAATTTTGATTTATAATTAGGATTATTTATTCAATGATTCAATTCTAATTAATTATAACTAAAATCACCTTTTTATCAATTTAATCTATTATTATTATAATTATTGTTATTGCTATAGGAATAGTATTATATTAACAATACTGAGATTCCACTAAGAAGAAGTAATTAACCAAATAAAGGTCCATTTGGTAATAATAGTAATTCAAGTAAAGACAAAGAAAAAGAAAGAAACAATAATGGAGGTAGAGAAAATGATTTCCTATAAAGAGATTATAATAAGAATAATAAAAATAGAGAAAAAAATGATATGGGAGGTGGAGGTAAAGATAACCCAGAATATAATTATGGTATTCTAGAAGTTCTATTTATTCAATTATTAAGAGTTATTAATATCGGTTAAATATTAGAAAACCTTATAAAACTTTATAAAAAAGCCAACAAATACAGTGGGCAAAATAACAATTTTGTTTATAAATACTCAATATTTCTCAACAACTATTAACACATCAATCTGCTAGAGTATTTACTATTTAAAGCATTTCCTACTATACTTATCAAAATCGCACTCGACTTCTATTATACGAATCTGGGTAGTATATTATTAATGATGGAGAGAATATGCAAGATAATAGAAATTATATTTGAAGATCCAGAATATAAATATAACCTTATACAACAATAAAAAAGTATTATATTTAAGAGTATAATAGAAAACCCAGATAATAATAGCAAATCGATAAATCAATACTTATAATTAATAATTACGCAATTTCACTATTTATATAAAGGATTCAGTTTAGCAATAAAAACAAATAAATTATTTTATTAAAAGATTATTAACGCATATACACCAATGCAAGTATACTCTTTAATTTGTTTTTGTTTTACTAAAGATATCCCAAGTCTTCTCAAAAAGCTTTAATTAGTTATTATAACATAAGAACAAACCCACCCAAATGAGGTTATAATATTTTATATTAATTGCAAATATTAATATGACCAAAAAGAATATAATCAAAATAAAGGTTTTGGATACAGCAATTGATATTTGTTTAAATTATAAATAAAAAAGAAATGTTTTGTTTATAAAAAAGAAAATTACTGGTTAACTCAGCACAATAAAAAAAAATATAATAAATTATGAAAAAAGTATAAGGAGTAATTTAAGAATATTAATAATAGTTTTAAGAAAAGCTTTAAGTAATTTCTTATTGAATATAAAGAATCTATTTAGAATGATAAAGAATCCGATCTAAATATAAACAGTGAGGTAACAATATATTTTACACAATTCGAATTCCAGAACTCATCTATATATAAATCATATTTAAGTTTTATTATTTATAATAGATCTGTCAATGGGAAAGAGATTATTATAAATTTAATTAATAAGATTTTTATACATACTTTAATATATTAAATTTATAATAAAAATATAATATATATTAACAAATATAATACAAAAGAATTCTAAAGAGTTATTATTGATATTATTGTAATACAATAGTTTATAATAGGCTATAAACAATATTTAGTATATAAAACAATTGTTGAAGATATATTGTTGAATACAAGCAAAACAGAAGTCGTAAATATAATATTTGGAATTGGAAAAGTTGAGTTAATTAAATCAATTCTATTCAATTTATTATCAGAAATTGTTGAATTTTATATTATAAATGTAGAAATACTATTTTTATTATTACTTAACAATATAGATAAGCTTAGAATATATTATAACAATATTGTTGACATAGTTATTGTATATAAGATAGGAGATAGTTATCTATATATTCACTACAATAAGTATATAGTTTTTCTATAGCATATAAATATATAACAATTTATTCAATAAATTATCAACAATTACGAGTACTACCTTATTAAGACAAAACTACAATATCTATATTGTTATTTTAGCCACCTATCAGTATATAGGTTTTTGTGAATATTGTAATATACTAATTATAATAATATATTATAAGTTGAGATTAATAAATTTACAAAGTTTTATTAATATTACTAAAAGTATAGCAAATTATCTAAACAATTCAAGTTTAATCTATAAGATAATATTAATTTTAATTATTTAATTATAATTGATGTGATGTATATTAATATTTACTTTATCCTATATATTATTAATAAAGGTATTCGATTTCAAATTATATAATAATTAGATAATATTATTATAAAATATATTTTCGATATATTCCAAAAATACTGAATAAATACATATACTAATCCATTAAATTATATTATATATAATACTAAAAAGAACTTTGTTAATAAGAAATTTATATAATATATAACAATTATATTAATAAGAATAAAGAGTGTCCTAATTAAAGCTTATTGGTTAATTGGTGTGGTTGAATAATATCATATAGTTATCAAAAGAATATATATTATTATTACTAATAAACTAGAAAACTTTATAATAAAAGAGATGATATTATAAATAACTATAAAAACAGTAAATAATATTACTGAACTAAATTATATGAACGTTGATCATACAGTGAATAGTTTCAATTCATTAGCTACTGTATTACAAGCCCTAAACAAAAGCGAAAGAGACTAGTTCTTTTAGTAGATCTATATAAGACCTACTACTTCCTGTATATAGCTAGCTCTTTAAACAGAATACAATATAGACATTTAGGATCTACATTTATAGGTACTACATCTTCCGTATCCTTCTCAAATCAATATTAATTAATAATATTACAAATTACTCAACTAATTATTCAAAAAAACCCTCTTACTCCCTTTTACTTTCTTTATCTTTTCTTTTTATTCCACTTTTATTACTAATACTATAATAAGCTGAGGGACTCTTTTTAATGTTAGTTTTAGATAAACTGATAAATAATTTAATCAACTATTAATACTACTAGGCACACCTATAGTCATAGGAGCCTTTAACAAAACTAATATCGATTAATTACAAAATCAGAAATACAATCTCCTCGCCCTCTCTATATTCAACAAAATGTTTTCAGATCTCAACACTCCCCATAATTCTAATATAAAAAACGAATCAAAGGAATTAATTGATATATTTCTTATTAGTAAATCTTAGAACTATATCTTTTTAGAAGATCTTTTTATAGCAAGAAAGTTTTATAAAAGATTTTCTTTTAGAATTATAAACTATAGATATGTTAATAGATACTTCCAGTTCAAATGTGTTGAATATATTAATACTAAAATTACTAACATATCACTTCAAGATATAATCACATATAATTTCAAGAATTTTAAAAAACAAGCTTTCGAGTTTATTGAGAGAATAATACTTTATCGATTCCGTAAGATTCTATGATGCTATAATGTGTATATTAATATTAGTATGAATATTGAATATACTCTCCTAAAAGTCTTTTTGTGGTAAAAATATTATAATTAGATTAAGAATCAACTTCTCAAATACCAAACTAATGAGATATAATTATTTATATTTACAAAATAAACTCTTTTATTTGTTGGACTTAGTATAAACCTATAAAGTAATAAGCTTAGGAATTGTAAGGAAGATAATAATACTTCATATCCTATTAAGAAATCGAATAATTCAAAAGATTACAAAACATTAAGGAAAAGTGGTGTAAGTATACCAGATTTTGATAAAATTATGCTGCCAGGAGTATTAGAAGGCTTATCAAACAACTTTAATAAATCTGATAATAATGATAATGGAGACAATTATAAAGGCAATAGTGGGAGAGATGGAAGAAAGTTGGATTATTCCGATTATTCTGATTACAATAATAATAATTAATATGATTAAAGCTATTATCTTATTGATTTCTCAAAGATCTATAAAGATAATAATATATATAAAGGTATTAATAATTCGTTTGATTTAAAGATTTCTATATTCGATAAATATTATTATAAAATGTTTATGCTTATTATATTAATAACAAAAGCTTTTCTAATTATATTTTCTGGAGTAGCTAGAGACTTTTATTAAGTAAATCTTAGTAATCTTTTTAATTCATATAAAGGATTATATAATATAATGGTAAAGAACTTTGAAGGACTTAAGTATCAAAAAAATATACTTTTTAAGTAAAATAATATTATTTTCAAGATTTATATTGAAAAGAATCCTGATGTAGATCTCCAAAATGTGTTTAATAAAATAATTACTGATCTTTGTTATTTATAGTATATTATTTCTTAGAATATATATAATGTTTAATTATACTATATTAAGATTTTGTTTGTGTATAATAGTATCCCTAAATATTATATTGTAATATCTAATCTTTATGCTGGTATCCCGGATTTTATTAATCAGATTAAGTAAATAATTAATTCTTATTAAAAATTGTTCCTGAAACAATATATATTAGTAATTGAAATCTTTCTTATTAATCGATGTTTTTATAATAATAATTTCTCGAATTTCTTTTTTCGAAAACTATATAATAAATATAATGGAAAGTAATCTTTTCCTGTGCTATTTAATAAAGGTAAAGATAATTGCTATTTCTCTGGTTATAAGAAGAAAGACTGCAAATATTATAAGTATAGTTAAAAGAAAAGAGATCAACTTAAGACAAACTATTATAGTAAGTATAATAGCTTTAATAATAAAAGCTTTCAGAAATATTATAATCAGTTTATTATGGATATGGGATAAGAGAGTAATCGGGATGATAGTAATGATAATGGAGATTATTTTATTGATCAATATTTCATTAATAATAATAATAGTGATATTAAAAAAGTGTTTAGAATATTCTTTATATTAATAAGTATATATAATGAATCTCAGGTAGTAATCATTCTTAATAATATGGTAAGCATTTATATATTAATAGTTAAAATATTAATTACAGAAATCAAGCAATATTATATTAATAAATTCTTTGATATTATAATTGACATTAGTATTGCTTAAAGATCAACTATTGGATATAATCAATATCTTGTATGGAAGACAATTGAGGATATCGAATATAACCCTGTAATCATTGGGCAAGTGATAGTGTGATATGGTATTGATGTAACTATTTCTATTAGTTCCTTTTGGATAGATCTTTTGTTTGGAATAGTAGAATGAAATGTAATGAAAGCTGATATTCCATTTCTATTATATTTAGCAAATATGGATAGGCTTAAGTTCAAGTATAATAATATCAATAATATTATTATTATATCTAAATGTATTTTACCTGTTTTTTAATAATTCGGTTATGTATTTCTATTTTAGAAGGTTAATCTTTAGAATATCATTTATAATTCTATTAGTGGTGGAGAGTATTTATTTATAAAAACTGAGTTATAATGAATTCATAGATAATTCAGTTATTTATTTGCTTACAAGTTTTATAAGGTATTCAAACGCTCTGGATATAATAAAGATTTCAAAGTAATCAAACAATTTACCAAGTTTTGTTATTATTACTAGATCTATAGAAAATCACTAGGCAGATTCAAGTTCTTTATTCCCGATAAGGACTTTGAGTTTAATCATATAATATTAGTTGATATACTTTACATCAATAATAATTGTATCTTATATATTATCAATAAAACTATACGTTTTCAGGCAGCTAGATAATTAAGCAATATATCTACAAAGTATATATAAAATAAACTTTACAAATATTGAATCAATATATATATTAATTCTCCAGAATATATTATCTATAATACAAATACTAACTTTATTAGAAAAAAGTTTCAATAATATATTATGTCAATATTCATTCAAATAAAAATTATTTTTATAGAAGTATATTATTCGATTAGTATTATTAAGAGATTTTATATATCATTATATAGATCTTATAAAATCATTTATAATAAGACTTATAATTTAGGTATTAACAAGAATATAATACTTCAAATAACTATAAAAACAATAAATAATACTATTAGATTAAATAGTTTAATATCAATATTACTTATTTTCGGTATATTTCCTAAAATAATTGAATTTAATCCTCCAACATCTATTATTCAATAGTAAGCCATCGCAATCTTTAAAGTTATAGTAGAGATTCATAAATTATATAGTTCTATAAAAATATAAGAAGCTTTGAATATATACAATGACTCTTTAACTATTATATTTTATAATTTATCTTCAAATAACAATATTCTAATATAGAAAAAGAGTAATAATACTATTTCTAACAAATAAAAAGGACCATTTTTATTATTCAATATAGATAATAAGATATATATAATTAATCTATTTTATAGATCTACAAGATTTAGATTCATATTAATAAAGCCTTATTACTAAATTAATCAAATTAATAACTAAATTAATCAAATTGATCAAATTGACCAAATTGATTAAATTAATCAAATTGACCAAATCGACCAAATTAATCAAATTAACTAAATTAACCAAATCAATTAAATCAACCAAATCAACCATATTAACCAAATCAACTATATTCCGGGTCATCTTGGGAGATATAAAATAACTTTACTAGAATCTAGCAAGATTATATTTACCACTTTTGAAACAACTATTACACATATCAGGAATTTAAAGGAACCTCTATTAGATCTATTCAAGAATAATTTAATACTTATATTAAAATCTTTTCCCTAGATTATTATACCCCAGATTCGCGTTTATATATAAAAAGAATATATTGATTAGTTTATTGTTAATCTCCTAAATCCAATTTTATATAAAAACTCCAAAAAGAAGAAGATTAATAATTTGACAATTAAGAATATATTCAAAGTTATACTACTATTAGAAGTTCCTTTAAATATATACATTTTCAAATTATATTTTATTAATAAAATCAAAAATAAAGGAATAAATACTAAATTTTGTAAATTATAATTAATTATTTAAGTATACAATAATACAAATAAAACAATTATCTTAATATAATCACCAATAATTTAGTGATTATATTAATATATTTTAGCTTTATTAACTATAAGTATTAGAAAGATAAGTAGTATAAATATATATATTCAAGATATTACTTAAGCATATATCTAATTAATTTTGAACTTATATTATACTTTTTATACCTATATTTCAAAGGAAATAAATCTATTAACTAATATAATCTTATTTATTGTAAAATCATTATATAGCATTCTAGAGACAGATAATTATTAGTTTAAGATATACTATATTCATTATTACAAAAAGCTTAAAATATAATAATTTATTTATAATCCTTATCTTTTGTATATTAATAATTAGGATATTAGATTTAGTATTATCAAACTTCAAATAAATAATATACTCATTATTAGAGATAGCAAATTTGTTTAGGCTAAAAAAGAGTAATTTAAACAAACTAATTTTATGATTAAGAATTGAGAAGAGCTAACTTATAATTACTTATTGAAATTCAATGGTATTATTCTTACACTTAAGGATAATAATATCTATTTTAATTAAAAGAAATAATATACTAATCTTCAATTTATTTCTATAGAATCTACAGATATTTATAGTATATATGATAAAGTTTGAAAACATGCTTTTATATATAATTAGTATATTATATAATAAGCTTGAGGTGTATATATTATAACTATATATCAACTCAAAGTATTTTTTGATTTATTGATGATAGTATAAACAATATAGCTGGTTAAAAATAATATTATGGTATTAAATAAATATATCAAATGGCAAAAAGAAAACTCCGCTAGAGGACTTAACTATATATCACTTGATTTGGATTTACTTAAGATTATTGTTTTTACTAATGCCTCTTTTACTAACAATAAGGATTATTTGTTCCAAATAGACTATATAATTATTATAATGAATAAGTATAACAATACTAACATTATTTATTGGTTATCCATTAAATACAAAAGAGTTATACATAGCGTTTTAGCTTCAAAACTATATAGATTACCCTGTGGTGGCAAAGTTAATATTCCGGACGAAGATAAATTCAATATAAATCCCCATACAAATTTCTATTTCGTACATTACGATATTGATATATATATTCGTCAGTGACGAATAGAGCTCTTCGTCACTGACGAATCAAATCGGTTCTTTTTGCGACCCGTTTATTATTGAATTTTGATTAAAAAAAGAAAATGAGGACCTTGAAAGGCCTTAGAGCTTTCAAGATTTTCGAATATTAGGGTTGAGGGGAAGGTGGACGGAAAGGTATGTGCGTAGGAGGTCAAAGAGGTAAATAAGAGCTAAAGGGGAGAAGGGGAATGAGCGTAGGAGCTAAGGGATGGGCGGGACGCATTAGCCGAAAGTTTAAAGGGGAGTACAGTCCTTTTGGTAAGTTACATCACATGAGGGAAACCTACAAGAGAGCTTTCAAGTGAAATCACAAGCTATACCACTATGCTATGCAATACAGAATGTATCATATAAACAAGAATATGACCTGATTTCAATCTATATATGAATAAATTTCAAATCAATAAATAGAAGTATAACAGAAAGATTAGTAATCCTTAATAGATTCTATTCGAAACACCTAAAAGAACTTTTCTATTCTTTTATTGAAATCTAACAGGAGATCAATTTAGAAGGAAAAGAAGAGGAAGAGAGGGGGGGGGGTTGAAAAGCAAGTAAAACCTAGAAGCTTTCTACTTGACAGATAATTGTTGCCTCAGGCCGAAACTTTCAATTAACCTTCCAGAATTCAAGAAATTCACTAAGAACTTATTGATTAGAATAAGCTTCGTAAAGTATGGAGACTTAGATTGATCATATTAATACTTTAAAAACGATTTATTCAATACATAATGAAGGTATTGTAGAATTTATGGCAATTACGAAAGGATCACTTCGTCAACCACGGATTCTGCCACCACAGGGTTAGTTTAAGGATTTAATATTGGAATTGCAATTATTTCTATAGTTAATGTCATCCTTAATAAAGAAATTCTATTAGTTTTATATATTAATTCAAAGTCACTATATGATTTACTTACAAAGCTAGATATAATAAATAAGAAACGACTAATAATTGATATTATAGCTTTATATCAATCTTATGAATAAAAAGAGATTATAGAAGTTATCTGAATTAATGAACTTACTAATCTGACTAATGTAATAACTAAAGGAAAATCATATCAAGCTCTATCTAATCTTATTAATACAAACAAAATCAGCATTAAACCAATAAGGTGAGTAGAGAGAGAATAGAATGATAGAATAATAGAATAGATAAGAAGAAAGGGCATTTCTTAGTATAAGATTTAGCACCTTACTAATAAAAGAATAAATTAAACCATAAAAAGAGAGTTTCCAGTATATGAATATTAATCATACAATGAATAGTTTTAATTCATTAGCTACTATATTATAAGCCCTAAGCGAAAGCGAAAGAGACTAGCTCTTTCAATAGATCTATATAAGATCTACTACTTCCTGTACATAGCTAGCTCTTTAGATAGAATACAATATAGACATTTAGGACCTACATTTGTAGGTACTACGTCTTCCGTATCCTTCTTAAACCAACATAAATAGATTAATATCTATATTATTAGTTTTTAGAGTATATTCATGGATAACGGATTTCGATTTATTAGTATCTATAGTTTTATAATGACAAATAGTGATCAAAAAGGTAATGAACAAAATAAACAAACTATAAGCTATAAAATAAATCTCAGATGCTCTAAATTAATGTAATGGATTATTTATAATAACTCTATATAATCTTTTTATTAATTTGAAGATTTGGGTATGGAAAGAATATAAAGAATGGACAAATCTATATTATTTATTAAATATAAAAAATGAGATATATACTATACAACTAACAAGCGAACCAACAGAATTCCGTATAACTCAAATTAAGCCATATATAAAAAAGAAACAAAACCAGTTTCAAAATCAGTTTTAAAATGAGTAACCTATCAAATTGGTATAATCAGTATTTTATATACTATATGTACCCGTAATAGAGTCATTATAATCTAATCTATTTAATAAACCTATGCGAGAAATAGATTATATATGAATAATATGAAATACACTTCAAAATGTAAATAATGTAATTTTATCAAAATCTAGTAAAATAAAATCTTTTCTTATTCTTACTATTATATGTAGTAGGAATTAAGAGAAGTCCTTTTTGGATTTATTCAAAAACCCCCAATCTTTATAATAATCAATTCTTCAAATTGTAATCTCTATATTTAGTATCTTTTTCTTAAACAAAAAGAAAGATATTAATTTTACAAAACCTACAAAACTATCAAACTTAATAATATATTTTCTAAATAATAATAAATACAACACTATTTTATATATCGAATGTTATATAGCATTTATTAATATATTAGCATTAATAATCTTTATTGAATTAAGGTGAAGAGAAATTAATAAACTTATAAAAAATAACATTTTTTAATTTATAAAATTTGTAAATATACCCACAGATATTAGAATATTCAATTTACAATTTGTTGATAAAATTAAGAATAAAGGAATTAACAAAGTGTTTTCAAAGTTTTGACTAGTTATATAAATATAGAAAGATTAAGGAAAGACTATTGTTTTAATATAATTATTTACAATATAATACATTAATTAATATATTATACTGTCAATAATAGTTATGCTATTTAAGGATGAGGTAACCATGAGCATTTATAATATTATATAAATATATATATAATTGATATCAAATTTAATTCGAAAGTTTTATATACAATTATTAGTAAAAATGGATATTTTAGAGGGTTTTATCCTGTAAGTTGTATAACTATTATATAGTATCCTGGAAGTAGGCAATTATTGGTTTAATATTTATTATAAATATTATACTAATGCTCTCAAAATGGTACAGTTAACTTATAATCTATATTTTTTATATACAATCAAGGATAATATAACATTTAATATTATCAAATTACAAATAGATGATACACTTATTATTATTAACAATAAATTTATAGATTGTAAATAGAAAAAACTTAATAATACTAAGTTTATAATAAAAAAATGTGAAATATTTATATTAAATATATTATTCAAATTTAATGGTGGTTTGATTATTTAATAAAATAATGGTATAATCTATTTCAATTAATAGAAGCAATGTGAGAACTTACATTTAATCAAATCAAAACTATTCAATATATATGGTATATACAGAAAACTGAGAAAGTCAATAATAGTAAAGAATTAATATATTGTATAATATGCTTAAGGAGTATATATTGTAATTATATATTAATCAAAGGTAGCTTTTGATTTATCTTATACTGTACAAATTGTTAATCTAAAAGAAGAAGATACCAATTTTTTTAATAAGTGTATTCAATAACAAATTGATAATATGAAGAGAGGGTTACAATTTGTTTTATTAAATATGGATTTTTTCAAATTAATTATATTTACTAATGTATCCTTTATTAACAATAAAGATTTATTCTTTTAGATTAAATATATTGTTATTTTAATGGATAAGTATAATAAAGCTAATATTATTTACTAATTATTTATTAAATGTAAGAGAGTTATTAAAAATGTATTAGTATTAAAACTTTATGGTATGATTTTAGGTTTTAATATTAACATAACAATCAAAAACACAATTAATAAAATCTTCCTAAATTATAAAATTCTATTAATTATATGTATTAATTTCAAATCACTTTATAACTATCTTATAAAGCTTAATATTACTAATAAAAAAAAACTAATAATTAATATAATAGCGATTCGGGAGGTATATGAGAAACAAGAAATTATAGAGATTAAATAGATTGATAAAGAATCTAATTTTGTAGATGTGATAATTAAATCAAAGTTATATCAAGCTTTTAAGAATTTGATTAATAATAATATTATAAAAATTAAAATTACTAAATAAGTTAAAAAAGATTAAAAGGAAAGGTGGTTATATAGACAAGGAGATATTAACTAGAAAAATACAATCCAATAACTTTAAAGAATTACTAGTGTTGGAATAAAGATTATATAATTATATTAATATTTGTATTAATATCTTGGTATTATAATATATATATTTCATAGCCTTAACTTTTAGAACCTTAAGCAATATTATAATAATGTAAATCATAGTACTATATTGACTTCACCATCCCCATGGTGATACCAACAATAATAAATGTTAAAAGATTATATATGAGTTAATGAAAAAGCCTTAATATTATTAAGTTCTATATAGAGATACGATATATATGTATAGACTCGACAGAGTTACATGCAGGCTAATCCCGATATAGCATAGCGTAGTATGCGGTATAAGTACCTTTTCTAACAATAAATATTATTTATTAGAAAATCTAATTTGAAATCAAAAATTAATTTATAATCTGATTTATAATCTAATCTATAATCTAATCTTTAATTTAATTTTAAATCAAAACTAAATTATAATATAGTATATACGCATATTATTATAGAATATATAGAGGGTTGAAAAAAGCATAAAATGAAAGCTTGTATCCCTATAGAAAAGATTAATTCTAATATTTACTTTCTAATGTTCTAAATATAATACATATATTTAAAGATTAATTTAATCTTTTTATAAATAGTAATTCTATTATTATATTCTATTAGTCTAAGCTTCTTATATAGTATTATTAATAGTACTATTCCTAATCAAGCCTAGTTTATCCCCTGCTAAGCGCATAGCCTACTACATTGAGTAATTATTCAATTTAATATAAAATAATTATAAATTGAGAGGGGTGCTGTAAGCAAGGACCAGGACTCTTACATTACAGTTTGCGACAGATACCCCACTCGCGTCGATTTCTTTATGCAATAAGGTACAAGTACAATCTCCGCTACTTTCCCAAACCCTTCTTCCTTATTACTAACTGCGTATTTATTCTATCTAAGGCTCCTTTGATCCAACGACTCTTAGAAATGCCTGGACAGCCAGCCCTATGATTAAGCATCCATTCAAGTCTTTGACTATCCATCCACAAATGATGAGACTCACAGCCCAAGAATAGAAACTAGAAAATCAGATTTTGAGCCCTCGGTTACATCTTTTGAATCTCGAATCATCACATCATCAATCACCAAACGTACATCAAAAGCCATAATTCTCGCCCTTCACTAATGGCCTAACCTCTTCTTCTGTTCCAAACCCCGCTCTTCTTACGCCATTGCTACTTCTCTCATCGCCCCGCTCCACACCCTTCAACTCCCCAAACCTAATTTTTAAGTCCATCAACTCATCCAATACATTATCATAACCTCCTAAGCAACCTTTCCCCGCAGCTCTCTCCAACTCTTTACTTCCAGTCGTCGTGTTTAGCAACTGTACAAAGCTATTGTTCATAGCTGATACTCCATTTTGGTGCAGGGACCAAATACCTAAGACCAGAACTGGGATTGCGAGGAAAAGAGAGATGAAGTAGGGTAGTATGAGATTTAGAGGCTTAGAAAATTGGAATGTATTGATTGATTCCCATTGTGTAACGTTTGCAGGTGTAGACCACCAGCCAATTTCGCTAATCATGTTGAGTGTGATGTTTTGAAGAAGCTGATTAAGAGATTCGGGCGTTACGGTGAATGAGACGCTATCATACTTTAAGTTTTCAGTAGGGTCATTAACCCATGAGTAAGCAGTTACATTAAAATCTCCGAAGTTGTCATTGAAAGTTGTATAGCCTATCAGTGTACTTTTGAGTCTATCCGCGTCTGGCATTGAAGGGTTAGTCTGACGGACAAATTCTCAAGAGCTATGTATGAAATGTTCGAGCGGATTATTCAGCGAGACTCACATGTAGAACTTGTCGGAAATACATCAAGAAAATCAACCCATGACACTTCAGTTCCCCAAACGTCGACCCCCACTCCGTAGGCTGGACTTAGAGAACTTGTAGCGTCACCAAATTGGATAAGCTCGACAGGATAGGTTCCATTCAGTAATCTAGTCATACTGTTGATGACAGCCATGATTTGCAGATTCTTATACCAAGATACCCAATCACTCGTCCAGTTTGCAGACTCGTATCCTAGATACGAGCTCCCAAGACCCAACAACCATTCCTCAGTTCTGTTTGCTGTAGTGACTAGGAACCCAGGCCAACTTATTCCGTACTCTTGAGTCACATTGGACATTTCCTTCGTTGTTCCAAGATTCTTTATGATGTCAATTGAACTTACAGAAACATTGGTAGATAGAATGTTGTTTTCATACACATATGACACATTGTACGTAGCCGTTGCAGCCGAACAATTGATATAATTTCCCTCTACGGCAACCAACCTTCCAAAAATATTAGATTCAGATCCGCTTTCTCTTACAGCAGGAGTTCGCATACCCAAAGGTCGGATCGTTTGAGTCGAAAATTGAGATGGAGCGATAATATGCATCTGGCTAGCCGTCGCTCGCGCTTCTTTACTCCCCCCCACCCATGGGTCGAACAAGAAACCTTGATATGCGTTCCATACGAGAAGATCAATACCATCATCATGTGTTTCAAATGTAATGTTTTGACCGATCGACTGGAAGTTATCGGACCACGATAAGCTGGTCGTGTTTAATACACCGTACTGAATGTTTGGACTATCACATTGGAGATAAGGACCTTCAAGGTTTAACGTGTATGAGCAGTTGGCTCCACACGGTGACTGCATTGTGCTTTGTTTCCCAGCAGTCATAGTTGAGGCAGCGAGCCTTTGTAATGGCTGTGAATAGCTTCCCGCAGTTGAACTGGAATTAAATGATCAGTTTTATGGATCGGACTTTTGGTTGTACATGATACATACACAGGAAAGAAGGTATCATAGTCATTAATGTCAAATTTATCCAAAGAGAATTTGTTGGCGTCCGCGCCAGAGCCATTGCCTATCTTAGTTGTGTCAGTGGTAAAGTGAACATCCGGCAGTATAACGAAAACTTACAAAGGAGCTATCGAATGTAGGAACTTCTACAACCTGATTTGAATATCTGGTTGTTGGGCCAACTATCAGAGCCCCTGGCGCGAAACTGGCAGCGATATTCATCAACCACACAAGTACCACAAGAACTACCAGAATTGGAGCTTTCTGCCAAGCATTAAAATCGCGTAGTAGCAGAGGATTAGCTTGCATTGCAAACATGGACTCTATCGTAGAAACTTTTAGGGTCGTAGTTCGTAGAATATACCAGAGATATTGGGTAAAAACAATTGTCACCGATCCAGTAAGAGAAAGCGTGAAAATGTTTCCAAGAATTATCGAGGCTGCTGATACATAGGATTGCTTGGGGACTTCACTCTCTGTTCCATCGGCGGTTTTCCCATCCAAATATAAAAATAGGACCAGATGAGCAAATGCTGTGGCCAAAGCTAGATGGTATATTTTAGCGATTGCACTCATCTTTTTCAATAGCAAGAAATTTACCGATAGTATAGAAACAAAACATTAGCATAGGTGTTTTGAAGCCAGAACCCCAATTTGAAACTCTGAGCGATGTGGTTTCTCGCAGCAATTCTTCCGAGGAATTCTCTGATTTGTGTACAGGATTCTTAAAGTTTTCCGAGGAGGAAATATTTGGACTCTCATGAAGCTGGATTGGCGTATGGCATTCAGCCAGCGACGTAATCCTGGCGTACAAAGCATTTGACATGATCAAGCCCGAAGTTTTTTTGGCAAATAATGAAGATAAAAGAAAAAAAATAAGAAGATGTATGTATATAAGTTATCCATCATAATCACACAAATCAAGGAAAGTGTACTTATGTCTAGCTCATGTGACTTGCTCAACCCATGCATGCATCCCAAACTCTCAGTACCACTCATTCTTACTTGGAGATACGCATGATACTGACTAATAACATCTTTATTAATTTCTCAGTCTTCCTTTCACATCACTTCTCGATCTTCGTTTACGTCCAGCCCTTCCATACTTACTCTTTAGTAGGACGAAAAAACAGGCATATTTCAAGATTCCTTTGTTTTTACAATTCTCCGTTAAATTGGATCATTGATCAATTTCAATTTTCGAACAGATTAGTGAATTAAAACACTTGAAATACACATCCATTTGAGGACCTGACAAGTTTGAGATACTCTCACGTATGATTAGCAAACATCGAAGTTATGGTCTTTTCAAACAAACTTCGATCTTGTCGAGTTTTATGTATCCGTTTTTCCGTCTTGCTGAAGCCACTCTCACCTTTTCTCATGGTATCAAGGCTATATCATGTAGAGAAATGCCAATTAGGAAATTGCTAGGCAGATAGTGTTTCGTTGATACAACTGTTGGTGTATTTCATTGGCTAGATTGCGGGGATAAATGTAGTGACGTGGGGGCAGAACAAGGATCTTTTTTGTTCTACCTGTAAGATACACCTTTCAGAAGAGAGATGATCATGTCGAGCATAGATTGTCGTCGGTCTGAAAATTTATATCGTTCATGATCTTGGTCAATACTATTGATATCGTTTTGTACAGTGTACACTATCCACGGAATCAAAAATGATGTGGTGTGGTGCTCGGTCCAATAATATTGGCCTTGGCTTACCCCTCATTGTACAGGATAAGGGACATCAATAGTGAACTTCGATGACTGCCAATGTAAGAAGATCCGCATATGATGAAGAATGTGGCAACAGCTCTAGAAGTTTTTGAGAAAAGAAAAGGGCATTTCTTCATAGATCTTCAGGGAGGTGCTGGATTGATTATCTCTAGTATCGCATCGATATCTGTTGGGCTGCACTCAGGGAGAAAACTCCAGATAGCGCTAGCTAGATTGGCCCGTGTTTAGGGCCCTGGCAACGGACAATCTCAACTTTTATTCACCTCTTCTATATAGATATACGTACTTCTCACTTCCTTGATTCCCAAGCATTCTTAATTGAGAGACTTAAGTAGTTATCCTCCTCCAAGCTTATTAAAGTTATAATTCCATCTTAAACAGGAGTAAAATCATGCCAAGTATTTTTTTGTGATTTTACCACTCAAAGCTCCACATCAGTGGCACAGCACGGCATTTTTTTTCCTATCTTCCGAGTCGAATTGCTCACTGAATGCGTGCTAGGCGGCTGCGAGGTAAAACTATTCAGGATGCTCAGAGGAAATACAGAACGGGATGGGTGTTTCACACTGTCCGTGGTCTTCCTTGACAAGGGGATGGAGAGGAGCAAGACATGTAGCGATCACAGAGTAGTAATGCTCAATTCACGACCTCAGTTTTATGGATCTAATGAGCTTCCTAAAGAGTACACCAATTTTGAATAGAAAGCCCCAATTCCAAGACTCGTAGCGAGGAAGTTGAAGCACAAAGCTGTTCTAAGAGCAGAAAATTTCATTCTGCTCTGCGTTCTTTGGATGTTGACTTTTCGAATGATGATTGATTTTGTTTTTGAGATTATTGAAAAATGAGTAATGAATGATCATGAAAAGAAGAACATAGACGATCTAAGCTTCATTTTAAACACGATGTTTTGGTAAGACTATCTGAGTTTTTATGTCCATTTGACTCTCGCTGAGAATCTGCCAAGTTGATTCTCCACAATTTCAAATATCTTCTATCAAATTTTACTTCTCTTCACTCAAGGTGAAGAACACTTCATCTACAATGCACTTTCAACGGCTTAATCTCAGGGATTTTCATTACACTCAAAATAAAAAAGCTAAGGCGAGGGAAGCTCTCTTGACCCTCTCTTAAGGAACTCTTCAATACCAAGGAACGGCAACCAGCTTGATAAATTCTGCTCTGGATTTAATCACAGCTAGGTCTTCTAGAAGGATTACAAACTCATATAACGTAAGATAATCTCCAGTCGATTAATTGCAATATTACAATCAACAACCTTCGACGTTTATTGTGATATTTGAGTTGATAGTTGTACTCGATGCAGTGAGCTCAGCTACAAGCCAAGCATCTGAACAAGTGTGCCATCGGGTATGTCAGCGGGTGTGCGTGTTAAATAATCGATCTCGCGCTACCCGAATATATGAAGAGCGGGGGATAACGTGAGACTGGAAAGTGGTCTGGGAAGCTGTAGCTTGATCTTAGATGACCATTTTGGCAAAAAAGTTGTTATATGAAACCCTAAGAAGTCTAATCAAACCTTGTTGGTCTTAGATAACGGCAGGGGGATGCAAAGAGAGACGTGCACGATGGAAGGTCTGGCCGTTAATCCAAAATTTGATTGTAGAAGGGCAATTAGCTAAATCCAAAAAATTATTGATTATATCTAATAATTGCATCTAATGAGTGTGCTATTCACAAGGTAATTCCTCATTTCCTGCCATCCCAATGCCGCTCATACAAAAATACATAAAGGAATGTGTTATTATACAGTGATCCAAAACAGGCATATCATCGTTCATTAATTCATCTCCAAACCGCTACAAAAACAGCAAAGCAATCCATCCCTTAGAAGACATAAACTGGTTCAGGACCAATGTCTCCAAAGTTACCGGATCCAGCAGGACTTGAAGGAGTGACTGGATTTCCGTTTACGTTCGAGACACCGAAATAAGCATTTGTCTTCTCTTCGTTGTTGGTGACAGTCAAAACAGCAAATGCGTTTTCAGCACCAAACTGGTCAGAAACTCCCCAAGAGATAGTGTTTGCAGATCCTGTAGTACATGGAATTCCATACCAGGACTCGGTTGTAGCACCACTTCCTGGCATACGAATGACGGTACATCTCTCATCAGATCGCTCATCGTTGTAGGAGATGGCAAAGTTGTAATCACATCCAGATCCATCTTCGGAACAGTATCTGATCAATTGCTTGATAGTCCGTTCTGCCCCCTCAACAATCGAGGTTTGATCTGGAGAAGAGGTCCCGGAAGCTTGAGGAGCTTGTGTGGAACTTGGTGCATTTGTTGTAGAAACGGCGCTGCTGGAGCACGCGGTAGGAGTAACCAGGGATCCGCTGTTGTCAAAAGGTAAATATCCAAGACATGTGGCATATTCAGATGCACATGTAGACATGTTAGCATCAGGGGCAGATCGACATGAGTTATATGAGTTGTTGCATTTAGATACACAAGCGTCAGTTGTGGCAGATGAAGCAGCTTGAGTAGTGGTTGTGATTGCAGCAGTGGTTGATGATGCCACTGAGGAGCAAGCAGTTGGGGTAACGAGTGATCCGTTACTATCATATGGAAGGTATCCGAGACATGTTGAGTACTCAGAAGCACATGTGGCTTGATTGGCGTTTGGCCCAGTACGGCATGAGTTGTATGATGCGTTACATTTGGATACGCAAGCATCGGCTGTAGCGGATGTTGTGGCAGATGAAGCTGTAGTTGATGCTACTGAAGAGGAGCAAGCAGTTGGAGTGACGAGTGATCCGTTGCTATCATAAGGAGAATATCCGAGGCATGATGCATAGTTGGAAGCGCAAGTGGATCGGTTTGCACCTGGAGCACTTCGACAGGTGTTGTACTCAGTGTTGCAGGTATCGGAGCATGCATCTCTAGACTTTAACGCAGCTGGTGCAGCGAATGCTCCAGTCACAAAGAGAGCGAATGCAATATCTTGGAAATGCATTTCGATTCGAAATTTTGTTTTTATTGGGTTGAATTAAGAATGCGAATCTGGATAGTTTTTGAGAAGTGATGATCGTAAAGTATATGATGAATTGATTACTTGATATCATGAATTTCGAGGAAGAACTCGACACATTATATATTAAATTTGATTCATCGATGTGCTACACATCCATTGATTTCACTGCGCTATCTCACATGGCTTGGCATACATAACGGATCAATATGTTGTCCCCAGTATTTACTGAGGGGTCACCCACAATAACTCGTACATGTTCAATGGTTCCAATAGTTTCCCAAGAATTGCTTGAGCCAACACATTCTTGCCTTCGAAGTCGTACCGACCAAGAGCCTCATACCAAGAATAGATATTTAGCAAAGAAAATGACCTAACTTGGACGTTGAGATTGAATAAAGTTCACATAACCGACGGCCGACATTCCAAAACCAGTTATTCGATTTTGCTAGGATCGGAATCGGGGAGTCTAGCTTGTCCGCTGATCTCAAAACCAGGGGTCTGCCCAAAATGTATCCGGCCCTAGACGTCATTATCATGAAGAACGATCTGAGCCCTAGTACACAATCATGTTACTAAAAGTCTTGGTTCTCGTACGAATGGCTTGACGAAAAGATGTTTGTGGGGATCTCGGTGCCTGAGCTCGTGACGGATAGAAAATGCCGAGCACCAAAATGCTACAACCGAATCAAAATATGATGTACAAATAATGAGACAATGTGTCTTCTTGGAACTGTCTGTAAGAACAATTCAATAATTTAAAACTCTATTTTCTCAACTAGAAATCATCTCAAATATGAAAATGAATTCATATACGTTTCAAAGAAAGAGCCATTTTGAGACTTTTTCTCGGTTATATTGATTCATTGCAAGCTGGGGCCATGCTGATAGAAAAAAATTGATATCTCGTATGTGTCGCATCGGCACACTGGAACGAGGTTAGAGATGGTACCCGAAGCTTCGATGGATTGATGTTAGTGTAAGTCTTAGACACGAGGAATAAGATCCGAGCCAATGATATACGACATCGCCCCGGATGCACAAAGTTTAATTGTCGACCTCATGCCATCCTAGCTGTCCATCTGATTTTTCTGGGGGCTGGCGATCAGTCAATCAGCACCAAAATGAAGCTTAAAATTCAAACACGAGGTTCTTGGCATTGCTTGAGTGAGAGGGGCAGTGATAACTACCAGCCATCTTTGATTGAGAACCTCGTTTTCTGGTAGATTTGTACAGCCACAGTAGCGCAGGGCAGACTATTCAAAGGTTCCTTCGAGGCCGATACTATACCTACCGTTGATCTAGTGGGATAATGTTATTGAAATGCAATGCCAGACCCTGACTCACAAATAGACATGAACTAATTTTCCTCTCGTGGATTCCGGTACAATAGGGTGTGTTGGCGTGGAAAGATTCTTCAATCAAATTATAGCACGACACGATACATTATGCCCGCCACTCACAACCCACTTCAGGGTCCTAATCTCACGAACAGCAATCAAAGCAAGCCATCAACGATCAAAAAGTTTCTCGTATGATGGTCGTTCCATGACTATCGCACTTGTAGCTTTACGAAATTCGGATCAAACCTCGCACAAAGCGACGTCTACATGTACGTCATAATCTGAGTTCCCTTCCTTCTCATCCACGATGACAAATACTCTCGGCCAAATATTATTCCTCAATTTGATGTTTCATTTTGATCTTGAGATATCAACGTTATGTCTAAAACGTTATGTCTAAAGAAATCTGCAGAACCATGTTTACGGAAATTGGAGAGCAACTGTAGACGATTGACCTCTACTCCGTTTATTCAGCCGTTCGAAATTACCCTCGATATTTTAGTAAGATAACACGCGGTAACAATTTGCTCGTCGACTTGCTCTGTTGCTACTGTTCTTGTATGCTTAATAGACTGCATAGTAGTGCCTCTGCATAACTAATTTACCAACGCTGCTTTGTGCTGATGCCTATTCATTCGCTACCCAGGCTTGATATGAACGGAATACATTGCCCACCATAATCAAGTACTCTTTTTAAAATCCAACCATTAATCGATTAACCAATTTTCATTTATTTTGAGAAAATCTATGATGATTCAATGGCTCATGATTTGGACATGTGTGAAGCTTTTTTATATTGCGAAACAATTTATGATTGTTGTATGGTGTATACATAAAAGTGAGTTTTAAAGATTATTCGTTTTTGATGGCTGGGTATGCAACAAATTCCGTTCACACTGGTTTTAAGTACCAGGCAGCCGGGCTAGGCACGTGCTGGGTACCGTGCAACCTCAGCTTCAACCAGCACTGACCGCTTAGTAAGCAAAATTCATAACCTCCATCTAAGTTCCGTGCCATCTCCAATTACTGTTTAACATCCGTTCAGCAATATGTTCCATACAACTTAGGACATACCGCAATATCTTCCATCTATCCTAAAATTTTCTGTTGGTACTTCCTTTCAATCCGTTAAAATCCGTATCCAAGCAAATCATTTCCTTCATTGACAAGTCATGGCGACCCCGACCAATTCTCCTCCCGACGCAACCATGAGGGATTCACATAGACCCAAAATGCCGGTTACAAAGCAGACGGAGCTTGAACAGTACGCTGTGAGTTTTGAACTGCCCCTTGCAATTCACATACTTATCAAAGTTCGATTGTAATAGTGCGACCATTGTAAACGTAGAAAGGTTGGTCCAATCAACTATCCCTCGTTCTTCAGACATCAAAATCTGAACGTTGATAGCTTAAATGCTCTCGAGAGAAGCCGAAATGTGTGAATTGCCAAGGATGGTCTGGTCCATGTACTTACTCCCGCCGTGGAAGAATACCCAGACGACCTAGGACGAAGTAAGTCTGAGGTCAATAAGCCACCATGAAAGAGATCTGATAAGTAAAAAGCATTCTGCAAGACAGCGTCAACAATCACACAGAATGGAACCCTGATAGCTCACATGTTGTCGAGTCTATAGTTCATACCTTGCCGACCTCGTTTACTAATCACGAATCCACGTACTTGATCTTACCGAACTATGAGAGTGACAAAGGTACCATAGAATCAAATCATTCCGTCAAATCACCAGCCTGTAATGGGAAGAAAAACGAACATATTAACGATGATTCTTCTGCTCCTTCAATCTTGAGTCAAGCAAAGAGCAGTATTACGACAGCTGAAATGAAGTCAAGCAATCTCGAGCCGGGTTTACAACGAGATGCGGAGAATGGATTATCATACCTCACCACAATATTTTCCGAGGGAAGTTTTGACGATCCTGACATTTATTCAAATGTCAAGCATTTTAGAAGGCAGAGGGAAGTTTTCTTCATTCCAGATAAGGCTGAAGGGGATCGTATGATACAAAGTAAGATGATCTCAAGCTTCGCACTCCCAGAAAAAAACTTATACTTAATCTGCTAGTCCGGATCATTAAACACCCTGTGCACCCTACAAATGCTGTTACTAATTTCAACTTGAAGTCTTCATTGCAGGAATCGAACGAGGTAAACCGTTTTTTACCATGCCTCCACTTGACATAATTCCGAAGCTTGCATTTGAGCCGAAGAGAGTATCCGAGAGAGCCTGGCTTTTGCTTTACAATGCATTTTTATCAACCACAATCGCTTTCATGGAACCATCAAACACTAGAATTAATCGAGGTCTTCAGTGGAATGTGTGGATAATTCTTCAAGATTCCTCGTTCTTCCTTGAGCCCTCAGAAATTGGTATACAAGCGATATTAATGGTATCCTGTCATAGTCAAGATGTCGTTCCTCCGGGTCTATGCTGGACATTGATAAGTCATGCTTGTCGGATGGCTCAAAGTCTGAATCTCCACATTCCTTCCCCAAAATATCCAAAGAAGAGTAAAGAGAACTCCCACCGGAATTGTCTATTCTGGAATCTGTTCATGATTGATAAATCATTGTCGCTGGCTTATGGGAGACCCCCATTTCTCTTGAGTCAACTATATGAGGGGATTGATCCCCCAGATCCCTCATTTCTCGCAACATTCAGACCTCATCGACCATCGACTGCAGCCATTGGAACCCAAGATCATCAGCTTAGTGATGGTTTCGGCGCATTGTACTTTGGTCTAGCACGAGAACTTTTTTTATTACAAGGAAAGATCATAGACATTGCACTCCTGGTTCACAATGGAGAGTTTGGGACAGAACAAATTTCGTCAATGAAAGAGAGACTTGAGATTTGGAAGGTCGATCTGGATGATGTTCGTTATATTTCATCTATCACCATCGCATTCACAGCCAGACTTGACATAGTCAGGGTACTCAATAGCTCAGACTGTATTCCAACAACCTAAGACTCTGAAATATTCAAAATCCCGAGTTTGGAATTTTAGACAGGACTGCAGTCCCGGATATTGGGGACATCTCACACAATGACTTAACAAAATATAGGATGTGCTCAGCTAACGTATAACAAACAGAAAATGTCAGCATACAACAACTTCCAAGGAGAAGAAAGTGAAATTCAATCAGTCCAAATGGGCATCAATTTTCTGACATTTCAATACCACCATTCGGTTGTCTACTTGACTCGGAGTTCCAAACATAATCACGAACTTTGTCTTTTTCACGCACGAATTGCTATAGAGATGTTGGAAAAGCTCGTTTCTAGCTCCTTGGAAATTTTCAATGGCATTGTGTGGTACGTAGCTATCAACTTCTTTCTGTCTCTTTTGTTCGAGCCCCTGCCTTTCTCATTGTAGTCCAGATTGCAGTTCAAAATTCAATTGTTTCGTTTCTCAATTCAATGAGAACATTTAGATAGTTTGAAATGCTGCTCTCCTTTAGAATACTGAATTGCTGTCAAATATTTGAAAGCTCTGTTAGGCGGAACTTTTGGACAACATGCTCGTCTCTTTGTATCTTGAATTCTTTTGTTATTTATCTTTCTAACATGTTTGCAGGCAGCTTCTCTACTACCCATTCATGCCCTACTTTGTTCTTTTCTCCAATATCATTGCCGATCCGAATTCCCCGTCTTGTTTTGACGACCTTCAATCACTCAGAAAGGTAGTGTATTATTTTTTGAGGATGCATGTCCAGCACCGTAGTGCTCGGAAGCTTGAAAAAATCGCAGAGACCTTTACTAGGCTTGCAGAAAGTTTTGTTAGAGGAAGCATGAGTCGTAAGGCCTTGGAGGACAAGTCGCCGGAAATAAATGTTGAACCGCTAAGTAAGAGTTCAGAATTGAATTCTCATATCACAGGCTGTACAATGCCGCAGAGTCCACGCCAAACAGGATCATATCCTCCTGGGAATGATTCACAGAATGCAAACACTTCCAGCAATATTGCTGCCCCAACAGGAATGGACCTCAGAGATCTGTCTGGCGGCCTTACAGACCCCACATTACTCAGCTTCCTATCTTATCCAATGGACCCATCTGCGTTCAATAATGAGATGGCGGAAGATAACCCGTTGCGTGACATCAATTCATTCACTGAGCAAGGTCGAGCAGTAGCGGATCCATTACTTCATCAATTAGACTTTTTATCAACAGAACAGTCTCTAGATGGGAACTTTGACTGGTTTTCATGGGATAGTTATGCATGGAATGCTCCAACAAATGGATTTTGATTCAACGTTGGACAAATTCAGTAAACAATAGCAAATAAGCATCAATTGAGCTAGAAATACCCTCTCGCCTCTTTCCATAGAACATATCTAAGACTACATTCTCTGGTATACAAATCATTCCTGTAATCGGGACTTCACCTGAAGTGTCAAGTGTAATCAGATCTACAGGGAGTCCTTGTAGTAATACCTTTATCAATGAATACAAGATAGATCCCATTTCCCTGTTAGATTCCACATCAAATTAGTTCCATTTTTTCCTTCGGCCACTTCATATACCACTCCCATCTTGCATTTTCTCCCAGCTCCTCTCCGATTACCTCCACCAAATCTCTCCCCCAATTCTTCGCCCACCAGTTATGCCCTACACCTCTATCCTGTCCTACTGCCCAGTAAGCGACCAGTATCAACGCAATAGGTTCCCTTTCTTTCATGCATTCGATGTATGCTGGTGGCGCCGCCCCAGGCCATGCTCTTCCAGGAAACTGTTCCGTCCTTCTTAAATTTCGACGAACTTTTTGAGATACATTGTGATACAGCTCTCGAAGATGTTGATCGTTTAACCTTTCAATTTCTTGACGCTCTAATTTCTCGAGGTACTTTTCGCCTTCTGCAGGAGTGCTTGTTGCGTCAGCTGTCACTACTTTGTTCCGAAGATGCACACTGAGTGGAGAATTCAGGCGTTTCATCCAACCCATTCGGTATATAGCCACGGTTCCATTGAACAAACTAAATATTATAGGCAGATAGTCTAACAATCTTTCGCTGGGCTTATCCGGTCCGGCTTGTGCTACTGGAAATGCATATATGGAACTTATCAATAATCCCGAAAATCCCAAAGCAGCTTCACAATTCGACGCTGTGACATTTTCCAACACTGGTCTAAATTCTGTCATACCGGTGTTTTGAAATTTAAGCGCTCTGGCTAGGTGGATTGAACGATTCTGGGGTTGCAAAACAGCCAGATGTAAGGAGGCAAAGGAGAGCATTCCGTTGTACACGTATTCATGAGTTGAAGCGCTTCGTTGCACAGCTCCTTCCCACTTATTATGATCTGGACTAATGAATGCTGATGTCGCGGGCTTAGCAGTAACATTAATATAGTGATAGAGAAGTGAATCTGCTTCTTTGTATCGCCCAAATGGAAGCGGTGCTTGAATGCCATAACTTGGATCTTGACTCTGAGATGGTTCACGATGAGATGAAGGTCTGATGAACGCTGTTTTGTGCTTTTGGGTCTTTGATTTCTGCGGTGGCCGAAGTTCGAAACTATGTTGACCTGGTGCTTGAGTGATCAATGAATTATACGTGCATCCTCTCTTGTATGCTATACATCTAGAACAAGCAGGCTGACGCTCATCACACTAATTTTGTGATTAGCATGATCCCCCTCAAAAGGCTATGAGCTATGACAAAACCCACAGCCTTCCAACATGCAACATGCAAGAATAATTTACCTTAACTCTCCGGAGTTTGCATTGAGTACAACCATGATGTGATTTGATATGCGATCTTCTCGATGGCATCGTGAGTTTATCGTTGTGTGTCGTCAAATCATGAATGGAATCAATGATCTGTAAAATGCTCAAAGATAGTTAACTAATTATATGAATTTTCAGTCGAACATCGTCGTTGGGAATAACGTATCATTTCAAACTTCCCTTGATCCTCAGGTACAAGACCCTTGGAAGGATATTCAAATCCATTTGTGCCTGGCTATATTTGGATCATGATAAGTGATAAGAATTAGAGCGGCGCATACCTGCGGAACAGCGATTTTGACCCCGCTTCTTAATCATCCCCCCTGTCGTCGTTACTGATTTGGTGAATTTAGATCACGTTGCGTGTGATACCTAGTCAACCCAATATATGATATGAATGTTCCAACCTGAACGCTTCTGGGAAGCATTGACCAAAATTTCCCAACTTAGTAAAGTCAAGGCGAGCGATGATCTTAGTACTCTAAAAACAAACGCGATTCCTCTTGCTCCTTCCTCCGGTTCCACCGAAACCCTCGCGAAATCCTTTTCAGCATGACTATATGGTTGCAGTAAACATTATTCCTCGGATGTAATACAGATATCAAACGTCTTAAAATGAAGCTTTGGAAATTATTTGGGTTTGAAGTTATTTTTGCTTTTGTCAAGTCAATGTAACATTCCTTCTTGGCTGCTGCGCCTTTCCAAATCGCCAGGCTCGATATTTTCTCGACGAGATTCGGCATTTTATTGTTTCATATATCTTTTGACGAAATCCTTTGGCATCCTACATGCAAAAGACACACACTTTTCCCCAAGAGGACTCACCATATGTGTTGTTAAGATTTGGTTCACACCAAGCAGAGAATTCGACCAAGTTACAACCATGACAAGCCAAGGACCTTGGAAAAAAGATGATGAGATGCATTGATATATGATCACAGAGGTAATGGCACATTCCGCTACCCCGCGTGGTTCCCTTGTAACAAACCTGGCGTTTTTTATTCCCTGCTGAGGGTGAAATCATGTTGACTAGGGTATTCGGTGTCTTGCAAGTGACAAGTTACCTAGAAGTAACAGTGGATCCATGCTGAACTCATGGTGAATGGTATCGTCAGAATCTTGGAAGACCGAAAGGCCGAGATGAACTTACTCTAGTGTAAGTCTTCTACCATGCGATGTCTGAACATACTTGGTCGTTCTGTATGGGTTTGGATTTTGCCCACTGCAAGGATTCTAGAGGCAACCACTGTTTTTTTATCCTGAAAGCCTGGAGGATTTGCATTGCGTCTCACTTGAAATGGTCTTCTGCATATGCAGTCGTGGAAAGTATGCAATTCTTTGATGTAAATTTCCCAAATACCACCCACATCGTTGATCAAAGCTTTGCTTACTGCCGAGCATGTCGTGTCGAGTTTCCCTTTACATAACCTTATTCTCATGTGCCGTGATACCCCAAGAAATGCGTTGGAATAGATAAGCATAATATAAGCACTCCCTAGCATCAATTGCATCATTCAATGCCTGAGCCTTGTCTCAATTTCACTGAATGTTTTCAGCCAATTCGCTGCTGATTCCCATGTTATCAAACAATTAACGTACTATTGCCCGACCTCAAACCGTTTTCAGGTGATATCCATCTATCTAGATCATCGTAATGGCCATATGAAACAACGGAGCGATTGAAAGATGCTCGATATTTCGAGTCAGGGTCTGACTGGTTTGTTTTCAGTACAATAGCGAAGCCATCCTTGGTGTAAACTGAAAAAGACAATAATTCAATTTGGGAATGCAAAATAAAATACAGAGATGATAACGGGAAATTGCAACGAACTACCCAACGCAGCGATGAAAGCTATGTTTTCCGGTAGTCTGAAAGTTCAAAATACCACTGGGGCATATTTACCTTTCTTTCTACAGTCTGCCATGAATAAAAAGGACGACAAGTACAGGTTTCGGGATCGAAATCTAGAGTCTGATCCGCTTCATCTCAAGATCCGCAACTCGATGTGATGCTCATACGAAAACAATCGGAGCGAGCGATGGGTTGCTGCTTTTGACGGTCCAAGTTAGTGAAGCCTGTATCAAAGTCGAATGGAAGAAAGAATCTGACCCGCAAGGAATCTTATAGAATCAACTTTGCATTGATCAAATCTAGACCCGCCCAGTTCGCGTCACCCTCTTTCTTATTTATCCCACCACCACATCCTGTCTTCCGAAGCCCACCTACATTTTCGACATTCTTCTCAGTTTCTGAATACGTGAGTCCCCAGATCATCCGATTTACTCACTTATCCTCCGCGCCCACGCTCTGTCTTCAACCTTTAAGCCGCTGTTTCTACAGCTCCTCCTTCCTACTTTCTTTAACCTCTGTAACCTTTCCCATGTCCCTCAGGCCTCTCTTGACAACACTCGTCAACATTTCGAAAACCACCTGCGCACCACTGAGTGCCGTTTCTTCCCCGGTCCCATCATAGCTTGGACTAACCTCCACGACATCCTAAGAACTCAAGGATTAGTGATCGCAATCAATAAAAACGCTAAGATTGGAAAAGGCGTAGTTCAAAATTTGAGGCCGAATGCGATGATGGGTGACAGAGCGTGCAACAGCACTGAAAAGAATGCTGCTTGCCAGTCGCCAATACTTGAAATCAACTCAAGACTTCAATTGATTCAAGAATCAAACCTTATCTTATTGTAGGCATGTGATACCCGACTGGATGGCTCCCTTGGGAGCACGAAGTGACAATTGAAAAACTTAATACTCACCGCACCCACAACATTCAATCCCTCTATCCCCCTTAATATCCTAATCAACTCCCTCATCGTCCATCCACCCGGTTCAGGCGTGCCTGTTCCTGGTGCTACGCCGGGATCCAGAACGTCAATATCGATACTAAGATAAACCGGAACTTCCGTTCCAATTCTTTCCATAATCTTCTTTACCACGCCTTGAGGCCTAAGATCATCAATATCATCCGCGGAGATTCTCAAAAAGCCTTGTCTATCATCATCCTCATAATCGGCGAAATCATCACCACTTAATCGTGTTCTCAACCCCGCATGGACGCTACTACCGTTCATGATTAATCCTTCATTTGAAGCGAGCCAGAACATGCTCCCATGGTTGAATTGTGCTTGCATACTTGCCCATGGATCTGGATATTTGGCTGGATGCCAAGTATCGAGATGAGCATCGAAGTGGAGGACAGCGATTGGCTGATTGTAGACCTTACGAAGAGCTCGAAGAGCTGCTAGTGCTAGACTATGGTCACCTCCTAGGGAAATGATTTTTGGGCGGGTAAGTGATGAGGAGAGGGGCTTCCGGTTGAGTAGTTCGGTGTAAGCTGCCGTCATTTGTTCTAATGCCACGGCATTATCCAAGGGAGTTACCGGGATATCTCCGCAGTCAAGAATACGAGCAAACGATGTGTATGGATTTATTCCAGCTCTTGTATTGACTGGCAGGAATGTCAGCTCTTTAGTTTTGTAAACAGTATATTCCCCATCCATTGCTATTTCGTTCGTGGGGTAACGGATCAAGAGCACAAGAACTTACATCCTCTAAAGCTAGTTTGTCTAGCACTAGCGGCTCGAATAGCTCTGGGTCCAAATCTTGCCCCTGGCCGATAGCTGACTGCCGTGTCGAATGGAACACCTAGAATCCCTATATCGAAAAGTTCCTCGGGGGTAGTGAGACATTTCTTGTATTCAAGATGGGCAAATGTCGAGATTCCTGAGAAAGACCACTGTTCGCAGGGTTTCATTAATAAGTATGCGATGATTTACGATTTGAATAACGATAACTAGATGTGGATTGGATAGAAAAGTATGAATGTGGAAAAATTGCACCTCCTCTTCACTCTCTCAATCCATTGCTATAATCACATGCATCGGACACAAGATTGTGCACAGGATTGGGGAAGTCCAGATCCTACGGTATATGCCACTGGACATATTTTTTATAAGAGTCTTATCATCAAGTCATCAACTCATAAGACAAGAATACAAATCCATCACTATCACGGCATCTGGATTGTTCACCACAAAACTCTCAAAATCATGTCTCCTTCCTACACCAGCATGCTTTTAAGAAAACCTTGGAACCAACAAAAATGACTGACCTCGAACCCCCAAAGTCTCTCCAATTCTTGCTTTTCTTCCTTACTCACACTTCCATCGACCTTTCCAAATCTCAATTTCTCTACATTCGAATGTTGCTGTGCCATTTCATCATGCTGATGCCCCACCACAAAAGTTGGTAGAAAACCCCCACATGCTGCCAATAATGACAGTGACTTGACGATGGAAAGCTTCATTTCTCTTTTGTCCTTTCCAAGATTTTTGCGTTCGTATGCTCAAACGGTTGAAGGAAGGAGACGGGGAACAAAGAAGATCTATGGTAGGAGCCTCTGGACGTCGTCTTGATATAGGAACAAAAATGATCATCTCTGTAAGAACTTAAGAACTTAAATTCCATTATAGATAACACGCCCTTTCAATTGCTTGCTGAGGGGTGATTTTGATAAGCTCTATCATGTATGGGTATCTTTGCCATTGATTACAATCCGTTACATAAGTAATTGATAACTTTTACAATGGGAATGTTCCCCGCGATGAGCCAGCTAGCAATTCGGCTCGGTACTTCGAACGGTCTGTCTAAGTTTGTCTGTCCACTCGTCCACTAATATCGGAACCTCGAGCCTATCATCATTGTCCCTTATCTTCAAGCTCCGAGTCGAGACTTTTTGTTCGCACATTGATGCTCCAATTTATTGATTTACATTACAAACGGTTACACATGTAAACTCAGAGCCATGCTATGCTATGTATATTATGCTTGTGAGATGAAAATTGTCGGCAGAATACAGAGTCAACTCAATCAACTCACGTTACAGGAAACAAAACGGTGGTGAATATCATTCGATTCCATGAGTTTAGTTCAGCTCATCCGAAATACCTGTAAACATAACGCCATGTCTTTCTTATGTGAATCAAGCTCGAGAAATCATAAATTTCCCCCTTCTTGGCGCACGACGCCACGACGC